ATCTCCAAAAAGATTGTTCCCAACACCAATATAAACACAGGATTGAATTCAATCGAATTTCTTAAAGAAAGACTTCTAGAAAAGCCCCTTCTGACAATTGAGCAACTTAAAACGACAGTTATGGACAAAATGCGTCTTCAAATGATGTTCACTTTCGAAATGGACAAAATTGAGAAGATGGATCTCGTTAATACTCCTAAATTGGCCATAAAAAATAAGGGCAAAAATAAAGTTGAGGACGATAATAGAAAATCCAACACTCCTATCAACTCTGATGACGACTTTATGGATTCACAGGGAAATACCACTATCACAGGTTATACTCCCGATAGTGAAGATATGGAGATAAACCTCCAAGACAACACTAATGTTAAACTCTATGATTTAATTTACAGGTAACCAGATAAAAAGACGACGCTAAAAATTGATGCAATAAATGACGTCACCAATAATAATCGTAATTGTGACGTAAGTCATGACGTCACAAACAGTGATGATAACGCATGTAATAATGTCAGTGAATAGCTTAAAGTTGTGAATAGTAAAATTTTTTGCTTTTTTGAAATTCGGATTTCATATCTGACCTCTATTTAATGAGGTGTTTGTCCAATCTATTGGACATACCTTTCCAGACTCCATCTCCCTTTTGGAGAGAAAAATTATCCTAATTTGGGGAGAAAAATAAGCTCACATGGTCATTATCGATGAATTCAAAAAATATTGCATCATGAATCCTTCAAATTTATAATAATTATAGATGATTTTTGGAAGGCAACGAATGACACAATCTCTCAATAATATATTGTAGAAAAAAGAGATAAAATAAATAAAATTGAAGGAAGTGAGAGAAGAGATAAATAGTCGAATGAAAAAGAAAAAATAAAGCGAGACAAAAATTTAAATAAGGTATGAGAAATACGGGAAGAGAGAGGAGAGATAAAGAGTGACATAGAATATAGAGGAGAGCGTGGAATCTAAATAAATGATAAATTGGAGTAGAACGTTATGCTTCGTTTGGTATAATGAAAACATGGAAGAATAAAAAGTTGGATGGATAAATAAAACATCATATTTGATAAGAAAGTAAAATAGAAAGGATGGAAAAATGTATTGATTAATTTTTCTTCCAACTTACCAAAGTCAATCTCTCTAAAATCGAAAAGAAAATGGACGAAAAGTTAATTATTTGTGTTGAGATGTATCTTATTTGTCTATATATCTTTTGATATATACATATATTATGTATACATTAATTTCATATAAAAATACAATAATAAAATATGTATTTATATATATTTAAAAAATTAAAAAATTAAAAAATTTTAAATTTTAAATTAAAAAATATATTTTTTCCATCTTAACTAGAGGTGAAAATTTTCGACTCAACACGATAACACAACTCGAATTCGACACGAATTTTATGACACGAACTTGATTATAACTCGACACGAACTTGAAAATAACTTGACACACAAACATAAAATATAAANGCTTGAAAATAAATTTTCAATTATAGCGGAGTGTCTTAAAGACATAGAAAAGGAGGAAGTAATCTCCAAAAAGATTGTTCCCAACACCAATATAAACACAGGATTGAATTCAATCGAATTTCTTAAAGAAAGACTTCTAGAAAAGCCCCTTCTGACAATTGAGCAACTTAAAACGACAGTTATGGACAAAATGCGTCTTCAAATGATGTTCACTTTCGAAATGGACAAAATTGAGAAGATGGATCTCGTTAATACTCCTAAATTGGCCATAAAAAATAAGGGCAAAAATAAAGTTGAGGACGATAATAGAAAATCCAACACTCCTATCAACTCTGATGACGACTTTATGGATTCACAGGGAAATACCACTATCACAGGTTATACTCCCGATAGTGAAGATATGGAGATAAACCTCCAAGACAACACTAATGTTAAACTCTATGATTTAATTTACAGGTAACCAGATAAAAAGACGACGCTAAAAATTGATGCAATAAATGACGTCACCAATAATAATCGTAATTGTGACGTAAGTCATGACGTCACAAACAGTGATGATAACGCATGTAATAATGTCAGTGAATAGCTTAAAGTTGTGAATAGTAAAATTTTTTGCTTTTTTGAAATTCGGATTTCATATCTGACCTCTATTTAATGAGGTGTTTGTCCAATCTATTGGACATACCTTTCCAGACTCCATCTCCCTTTTGGAGAGAAAAATTATCCTAATTTGGGGAGAAAAATAAGCTCACATGGTCATTATCGATGAATTCAAAAAATATTGCATCATGAATCCTTCAAATTTATAATAATTATAGATGATTTTTGGAAGGCAACGAATGACACAATCTCTCAATAATATATTGTAGAAAAAAGAGATAAAATAAATAAAATTGAAGGAAGTGAGAGAAGAGATAAATAGTCGAATGAAAAAGAAAAAATAAAGCGAGACAAAAATTTAAATAAGGTATGAGAAATACGGGAAGAGAGAGGAGAGATAAAGAGTGACATAGAATATAGAGGAGAGCGTGGAATCTAAATAAATGATAAATTGGAGTAGAACGTTATGCTTCGTTTGGTATAATGAAAACATGGAAGAATAAAAAGTTGGATGGATAAATAAAACATCATATTTGATAAGAAAGTAAAATAGAAAGGATGGAAAAATGTATTGATTAATTTTTCTTCCAACTTACCAAAGTCAATCTCTCTAAAATCGAAAAGAAAATGGACGAAAAGTTAATTATTTGTGTTGAGATGTATCTTATTTGTCTATATATCTTTTGATATATACATATATTATGTATACATTAATTTCATATAAAAATACAATAATAAAATATGTATTTATATATATTTAAAAAATTAAAAAATTAAAAAATTTTAAATTTTAAATTAAAAAATATATTTTTTCCATCTTAACTAGAGGTGAAAATTTTCGACTCAACACGATAACACAACTCGAATTCGACACGAATTTTATGACACGAACTTGATTATAACTCGACACGAACTTGAAAATAACTTGACACACAAACATAAAATATAAAAGGCTTATATTCAGTTCAATCAATCAAACTCAAAATTGACACCATCAATCTGTTTATTTAAAAATAAACACTTTATCTATTTTCTCGTTTGTATGGTAACACGAAATTAGCCAACACAAAAAAAAAATAGTAATTTTTATTTTCTATCCATTCAACTAAACACAAATGAAGAAAAGTGTATCATTTCTACTTTCTTTCTTTAAAGGGTAGAAAATATATTCCTCTCATTTTCCATCATTCCTACCTTCCATCATTCCTACTAAACGGAGTATTATAGTTAGAGAGAAATTAAGGTATATATAGAATAGATAAATTAAACGTATAGATAGGAAAGAAAAATTAAAGGGACATAAGAGAGAGGAGAGATAAATAGTTAGACGGATAACTTAAAATGAGAGATGGGAGAGAAGAGAGAAATTAGAGGGGAGAGGAGAGAAAAATTACAGGAAAAGAGAGGAGTCTTGAAAAGATATGCATGATTTACTGAACGTTAAATAAGAAGAAAAAAAATAAAGAGACTATTGGACCTACTTTATAAAAAAATACATAACACGTGTCTTTAAAATCCAAAAAGATTGCGCTTGGATCTATTAACAAAAGAGTTTCTTTTATTAGACTTGATTCTAATTTTTATTTGATTAAATGTTAATCGGACAAGAGAGAAGAAAGAAATAAGGAAAGGGAGGCACAGAGGACGGCCGCTCCACTTTCTCTCCTTTCGTCGAAGCAGATAGCTCCTGGGCCAAAGTTCGATGATTCAATTACGACTAGAAGGACGACGAGAGGTAAGAAAAATAAGTAGATTGACATCAAGTGACTCCCAAGCATGCAATTTCATTTAAATTTAAGGGTATTTGGGGGAAAAAGAAGCTAGTGGATGATCTACTTGAGCTTCAAGTCTTTGATAAAGAGAATTTCCAATGTTTTAATTGCTAAGGAATTCTGCCTGTGGGACAATCAAGGAGAAATCAGCTCCCTAAATCTCTTAATCACTTATCCATTCACTCCAATAGACATTGTATAAAAGGGTAAGACTACAAACTCAACGTATGTTCGATCATCTCTAATTAGTTTTTTATTCTTACTTAATCCCTAAAAAATTGTCTCCAATAGACTCTATTTAGAATATCTAAAATAGAAAGTCCAATTGAGTTATCTACATTTGAAAATCTAAACTCACTCTTTATTTTATTATTAACAATATTGGTCATTCTTCTACTAAAATAGAGCCGAGCAATGTTATGTAACTCAAATTTACTTTCCAAATTAATAAAGATCATTGGATCAGTAATTTTCATTTAAAAAAATTGATAAAATCTACTTATCCATATCCAATGATCCCCGTTGATTTAGAATGCAAATTTTAGTTATAAATTTTAGTTACATAATATTTCCCATTAGGGATATTCTAAGCATTGAATGCCTGGTTGGAATTGACAAAAAAATATTCTCTATTTTGACTTTTCATCAATAATCCTCTCCATATATATATTGATATTGAAAAAAAGTATGGGTGCAAAAAAAAAAGTTCAAAAACTATCTCAATAGGCTCTTATTGATAAAATCATAAAACCCCTAACCGTTCCTGTTACTCCTCTCAAGAACAAATTTAACTAGAATAACATAGTAATCAACCACCGAACCGTAATATAACCCACTTGGTGTTATACTACATATTTAGTATTAGAGATATTCTAAGCATCGGAAGACTAGAAAAACAGTTGAGCGTCACAGAAAACAAGTATACAAAGTCCATTCATTGACAATATTCCCGTGAGAATTTCACTTTGTGCGAAATAATCAGGAAATCATGGTCTTTTGAATATTCCCACCCTGGGGTAAATTCCAAACTTGGGTGTATTTTGATATCACTGTCGAAAGTATTTTTATTCAACAAAAAATACATTTTTGTCAAGATTGCACACTATTTAGTAAAAACTGTATGATCCTTAATATATAAATAGTACACTTGCATATGTATGTGTTACATCACTATATCTGCGATTAAGCTTAGAGAAAGAGCAGCAAATTCAGAGGGAAAAAATCTTTGGGTGACTTAGCTCATCACTGCAGTTATTTTTAGCAGTGAAATGTATTGTTCCTGTGCACACATGTTATGAAAGGATAATTTTCAAATAAAACAAGACAGCTAACCTGAGCCACACTCATTATCTGATTGTGTAAGATATCCAGCAGCATTCCATGAAGTTTTGAGGACTGATGTAATGGGTTGCATTATGCTCGTTTTTTCATCCCGAATTACGAAAAGTATCCATGTCAGTGCATGCTTTGATAAGTTGACAACGTTCATAACTCCAATGGAGAAAGAAAATTTAAAACTAACTATTTTCTATCTTCACGCATGTAGGTTATTCACGCTAATTTACACTAGATCGACTTTTGGAGCAATGCTGTCCACCATGGATGCTTTCTGGTCAGATACGTCGAAGAGATGCCAACCTTTTCTCAAGATCTTCGACATCAGTCGACTGGGAACTGCAAATTCATCACAAAAAAAGATCCTTAATATGATCCAACATGAGTCACAGTATGCGTTAACATATATAGTCAGACAGGGCAAAACAACTATAAGTAAAATCATCCAAGAAAATAAATCCTTTGTGCCAGCCGTGAAATGAGTAGCCCAAGTCATGAGAGGTGGAACATCCTGCCAACATCTAAATTGTTGCCCATTATCCTCTGCCTAAATTCTGTGCATTCAGTGTTATGAATAAGATGACTTCAAAATTCCCACTTATGTCATCCATAGAAGTTTTAGGAAATGAGAGCATCAAATACTCCAGTGACATTACTTAAAAAGCCACCTATTCCATTAGTATTGTTGCTAAACCTTGGTAGATGGTTTATCAGGGAATCTTGGCCAATTGAGAAACTGGGGAATTTGGTAATTGACACATTTTATGTGTTTATGGTCCAGGACAGTTTGCTAATTTAAAATTTAGGCCATGCTTCAGCTAATGGACGACCAAGATTAATAGCAATTTTATTCTTGTAAACAACCACATGATTGAACTGAACAGCCATATTTTCCTTCCCAATCATGTCCATGCCAAAGTTAATGTCTGCGGGACCAAATTAAATAGGAGGAAATAGTCCAACCGCAACAGTCCAATCCAGTCCAGCAACCAAATGTTCCCTAAGACCAAGACAGTCAACCATATTATCCTCACTACTGTCATGATATGTATCACATGCTAGTAAGCATGTGATTCATGCTCTCACAAGTCTCATATACTAGTTTGGACAGTGCAGTCTCTTAATTCTCCCACATATTACAAGTTCACCTATGCCCAGCTCTCATAACAAGTAAAACCAGCAATTAATCTACAATCTTAAACTTTTTAGAGAGGATGTCCCATTATAACAGCACTTGGGCATATTCCCACCACTTGTGAACAAACATGTGGCACTTCTATTTTATTTTTTGTGGCCGAGGTGAGTGTTATATTTTTTGGGTGGTGGGGGTTGAGGAGGGGAAAATCAAGGAAGAGGGCAAGCAAGTAGCTGGCTGGTGAAATAATAAGAATTCTCTACACTTGGTAGTTAATATTCTACAAGTCAATCAACAGAAGTTGACAGAGTGCTGTTATTACAACAATTTGTAAGCCCAAGCAGCAGCCAGTTCCACATATAAGTCACAGAAAATGTAAGGTGCCTGATGCAGTTGCTTCAGTCCAGTTATTTCCAGTCAAAAACTAATAAAGAACTAGGCGAAAATGTGAACACCCATTAGTTACATGGGAGAAACTTGGGGGTAGAATTATGCTAAGAAATAAACTAGTCAGGCAACCAGCAGAGTGATTAGCACAGAATGTCAGATTCCTACCCCTCAAATCAAAACTTTCCAGTTTTCAACAAAAAAGCCTATCAAACTAAAATTTCCTCTAAAAAATGAATGAGGAACATACCTAGGGACAGCATTATCAACCTTCTTTGATGCAATTCGGCCTTTTGGGGCTGAAGATAACTGTACAAGATGACCATAATCACTAAGTTGTTCATGTAGTTACAATAAATATGCACCACATATAAGGAACACCATGAGTCATATTGATTGCCCAAGAAACCAACCTGTGATGCAATGTCCACACCAATCTCATCAAGAACCTGCAAATTAACCATGAAAACGAGGAGTTATGGGAACGAAATGGAGTATGACATACAAGAGAATACTAAGAAACGCCAATGGTGTCACGGATATTTTACCTGGTTAGTGAGCTCCTCTGTTTCCTCTTCAGCCTCATCTTTGTCTAACGTTTCATCGATGGACTCTGACATCATCTCAATCTGGACGGAAGAAGCAAAAAGGGGTGATCCAAAGTTGCAGCTTATTATTCGAGAATTCATCCAACAGCAACACATCTAATGGCTACAAGTTTGTAAAATTGCAGCAACAACTTGCAACTACACTTATGAAATTAATGCTAATGAAAATTTAATAGGGTACTAAGCTTAGGTCATAGTAAATTTACCGTCATGTCCAACTGCTGTGACTGCTTCTGGAATTCTTTAATTACTTTAACTTGCTTTGCAGGTGCCATTTGCTGGAAAAAAGGGGAAACTAGAACTTAAAATCTATCAAAATTATAATCAGGTCAAACAAAGAAAATGGAAAATCCAGAAGAGGTAGAGCAGTTTTTGAAAGTAAAACATTAAGTTGATGAGATCAGTTCAATATTTTAGTGACCATATTACAGTAATCTCAACTCCAACTAAGTGAAAAGAAGTTACAAAACCATCTAGTAAGTGTATACAGATTGTCTGCGTAAAACTCCAATAATTTCGTTTTGGATCATTTCCCACACAGTTTCCACTGTCCAAATAAGTGAGGAAGAATGGAAGACTAAGGAAGAAAAAAGACAAATTTTCTTTTTGTGACTGGTAGAGACATCATACATAGGACATGAGCAAATTGAGTAAGCTATCTCCTCTTGCCCGTATTCCAAATGCATACCTTGTTCATGGCAACCATTGCTTTCGTTGCACCTTTCATTCCCGTAGACATTGAAGTGCTGGCATACAGTGCCTGGGAAACAAAAGATAGACCATCAAGGACAGTAAATTACCTTTTCCCTTGAGTTATCACTAGTAGAAACACTCACCTGCGTATGAGTTGCTACGCCTCTGATCTGAGCACGACTCCCCTGCAAATTTGTGATTTGTTGCCGCAGCCGAACAAGTTGGCGAGCTAAGATTTTTGTGGCAGCCTGGAATCCATGAAGACAAAAGGTTATTGACATAAACTTGAAGAAACCATTTCAAACGCTTAAGCTACATGCTTCAAAGAATGCTCAGGTTTTGTGGAAACAGAAATAGTGTCCTGCATAATTCAAGTCAACGAATGCATAGAATTTCTCAGGTAGTTCTGCAATAAAACCACATAGAAATTTCTTGTTGAAGATAGGTCGTAAGGACTTACAAGTACTATTCAAGGAAGGTATAATAATTATCTTGGTTGTTTCCTGAACGAACAGATACAGCTCACATTTACTGTTGTAACCATTAATATAGGCTGATGTTCTTATTTTTTTTCTGCTCATACATGTCTACATAATTTACATAGTAAGAAATATTTTGATCAGGGCAAAGTAAGAACCATCTAGAACATTTCAAACATGTGACTCAGCTAAGCATTTGGTGCAAAGGCAACTTTCATGAACAGTTCTCATTTCTACAACGTCTCATCAGATATTTAAATCAAATAACCTCTACATGGCTGTTTGAGAAAGCACAAAACTGTGCCGGTGAATAATGACCTCATACTAAATCATAAAAACGTGAACTGAAACAAGAAGAGCATGTGCAAGTCAAACTATTTTAATACAATGTCCTGGTGGAAAACAAAATCCAATGTTTAAGGATGTTCCTACCAGACAAAGACCTGAGATGGAGGCATTTTACTCGTACAATCCGAAGTATGAGGCAACCCTCAAAAATAGTCTTACAGATCCTCTTTAATAAATTAAGGTGAAAAATAAAGCTTCCTGAAAGCCAACGAGGATAAGACTTAAAGAACATGCGGTACATTGTCAAGTAGTGCATCCCATGTGGGTTTGCCACTTTATTTTACCCCAAGACCTAAGCAGAATGTCTGATGATGTTCACACTGGGGGCTCCTTGTAACTACATGCACTCCTCAAGGTTAACACTCAAGACACACTTCCATCACGAACAATCAAGGCCAACATAAAAATGGAAAATAACATAATCCATCCAATATGTTCATATATGTTAGTTTGGAATTTGGGTGTACATCATCCTTCGCTTACAGCATGTCGTGGGGCGCACTAATCAAAATAAACTTACCTCATTTCCAGTTTTAGCTGTTTTCTTGATCTCTGCCACCAATTTTTTCTCCTGAAATCACATGTGAGAGTGAGTCTTGGGAAGGGGAGAAAAGGAATGAAGAAATTGCAAATAGATGGTACTTGCTGACAGTAAATACCTCCATCTGCAAAGACGCAATTTCACGTTCAATGCCTGCAACACAAAACCAAGATATCAACTTGTAAGTATGGAGGGTAAAGATCGTGAGATTGGATATTGTAAACCATAAAAATCACGAGATTGGATACTTTCTGGCTTACATAAATTTTTTGAAAGATATAAATATATGACTTAAAATAACATGGCTCAGATGATAATTATTCAGGACACTATCACTATGAGATATGTGCAATTGTAAACCATAAAAATCGCGAGATTGGATACTTTCTGGCTTACAGAAATTTTTGAAAGATATAAATATACGACTTAAAATAACATGGCTCAGATGATAATTATTCAGGACACTATCACTATGAGATATGTGCACTGCCTACCACATAGAAATCAATTCTGGGTTCTTATACAGTTAACTAATAAATTATAAAGCATTGATGTCAACCCATTTCCGACCATTCTCTTAGGCAACTCTGTTCATGTTTATGCAGATTGCTGCACATAGCCAATGTGAAAATTAGGATAAAAAACTCAAGCAAATGTTGGGAAGAATACCCCTCAAACCAATGGTTCAAGGTGTGGTGTTCGCCATCGACTTCCAAGGGCATTGAGAATGACAACCTTGAAGGACTATAGAATATGCCCGCTTATTTCAGATTTCTTCAGAGATACACGAATTAATATACATCAATAGATCTATAGAGCAATTTTCAGTTATTCCTCAATGGGCAAAAAACAGTGTAAGTGCCATTCAAATGAGGCTAGCTCGAAGGAGCTTTTCTTTCTTGTTTCATGAATTTATTCTTAAATTTGCTATAAATATGTTGTATGGGCTTCAGAACAATGGACAGCTCACCAAATGCACTCTTTAGAAGAATTTTTACCCAGCCATTTACTGAAGCAAATGCATAGTAAATGGGACTTCATGACTTATGAACATGCCAAAAGTAGGTCAGAAGTATAATGTCTTTTCCAGAGAGTGATCTTCATGGATTAACAACCTGTGCCCAAAACCCAAATTCTGAACAAAACATCTTTTTACATGTATAGAAGCAATGGTCGTATACGGACTCCAATAACCCTGTTACAATTTTTTTGAAAAAAACTCTAAACATTAAAAAAAAATATGTCTATAATTGTCTAGAATTTAAGTGCTTTCTACATATAGCCCAGATTTCACCAGAACTGCATTAAACGCCACAAACATATTGAAAAGCAGTAAAATTTTCGCCCAAACAAGACGATTGCTAAAAAAAGGTTAGAAACCAACTGTACCTCTCGTGGCAACCGACATTTCTCTTTTGCTTGTTCGCAGTGCATCTGTCAACATACGCAAAACCATTTCTTCTCTTAGTTTAACATCGGAAACTCTTACCAATAAAAACTATTAAAACCCATAAAAAATTGAAGAAATTGGCAAAAAAAATTGCTCAACTTTTTCTGGATAACTTCAACATAAATTCAGATCGAATAAGCCAAAAAAAATGGCATTGAGGATAAAAACGAAACAAAAATTTGAAGAAAAAAGAAAAAAAAAATCCAACTTAAAACGCAAGCTTGTTATCATATACATTCTCTGTAAATGTAAGAATACAGTGAAAAACATTTATTTTAGCAAGTTATAGTAAAAAAATTAAAAAGAAGGGGGGAAATCTGGAGGATCCAAGCCAAAATTTCATTAAAAATCTAGGAAAAAATAAAAATAAAATTATAGTAAAAATTCATAAAAAAAATCCAAATATATAAAGAATGTACCTTTGGGTGAGGTTTTCTTCTTGAAGATGTTCATTGTCGACTTCAAGAGCTGGGGGCTCCCGAGGACTGTAAAGAATAATAATGTGTTGGGGAAGAAAACCTAAATTCTAACAATGGAAACCCTCACTTTGGTAAGATCTAACAGAGTAACTTGGCGTGTGTGCGTGGGTGTGTTCAGGTGACTCTCTCTCTCTCTCTCTCTCTCTCCTCGAGCTGGAAAAAAGAGAATCTGCGGTGGGCTAGAGGAGCGTGATTTTCTCCACGTTCTACTGTAAGCGTCCAACTAGCCGTTACTAGTGATGCATTGACTACAATACTGATGATTGTATCACTATTTACACTATGCCATTCATGCATTCTAAAATTTATAATTGAGTGAAGCTACGCTACGCATTACCAAATCTATTACAGAAAATTGCAGCAGACATGATTTGTCCAGTTCCAACTTTGCAAATGGGGCCCAATCAATTATGCTTATTGAAACTAAACTCGACTATAATACCAAAAGGAATAATTAGTTTCAATCGTACCACGGATATGTCCAAGGTTGAATTCGGTAACACAAGTCATGCTCCCTCAGGTCGGGAGCTCAATTCAACCAAGTTACCTATGGACCTCGACTTCAGACTTGAAATTCACCGTGTCTGCATCTCAAGGAAGGCAATGCGGATGATAGTTGGATTCCACTAAATACCCTCTTAATAGCAACAGTTACTTATCAGACGCAAGTCTCGTAACCGCCCCAACACCTACCACAGCCGTTGCGTAATAAAGACGTCTGTTACAAGAAAAGGGCATGGATCTCGCCTTAGATCAAGATAGGCCTAAGGACAACTATATACAGGAGGCAAAACCCTCGACAGGAACAACAAACAATTGTAGCCTCACTAAAATACTCTCTGAAACTCCCCAATTATCAATATATTCTCCAGGAGCAAGAGACTCCCTTGAGAGTAGTTTAGTCGAGCTTTCGAGTTTGTGAACCACTATAAATACTTTGTGTGATAACCCCTTCCCCCAAATTCTATTATCAAGAGCCTTGGAGCTCAGACTGAACTAGATCGAACTGTTCAGTACACCTTGCATTCACTCATTTGCTCAGTAGTGTTAATAACATCGTCAATTGGCATCGTCTGTGGGAACAACTGTTCCTGCTAAAAAAATACTGAAATTCTTTAGTAATTGATGGTTTCTACGCGCAATATGAGCAGAAGTCAAATATATCCCTCTTTGTTACAAAACCAACAAGAAGCTACTACTAGAAGACAGTAAGAAAATCTTCATGATTTCTTGCCTACACACGAGATCGATCTTCCCATGGTGGATCCCTTAATAGACAACAAATTTGAGGCCCTTTGCCTGGCCAATCAATGTCTTCTTCAGCAGAATGAGGAGTTACTAAATCTCCTCCAACGTCCCCAAAGGGCATAGCCAACCCAAGATGATCCCCCACAAAGGGGACAATAGCACAACAACCCCCTAAAAGACGTCACTGAGGGGGATGAGGGTCGCCAGATGGTGGGCAATGCCCATCATCAAGCTCGTAGGAACGAGGACACTAAGGAAGTACAAAGTCAAAACAGGAAAACTCATAGGAATGAATTTCCCCCATTTTCAGTAGGAAAGGAAGAAACAACATTAGGAGTAGCGCTTCAAGGAAATTCAATAAGAACTCAGCCACATGAAGAAGGTTGTAAGAGGCAAGACCCCGGTGACTATAGACGCCTTAGTTCAGTAGACTGAGTTTCCATTTACGACAAAGGTGCTTCATTTTTCCCTTCCACCAAAGTTCAGAATACCCCAGATGAAGGCCTTTGATGGGACAAAATGCCTCATGGACCACCTTAATACTAAAAAAATCAGATGGAGCTCCATGGGTATCAAGACCCAGTATGGTGCTGAGCTTTCTGCATCACATTAAAGGGCTCAGCCTTAGCATGGTTTAATCATTTGACCCCTGCATCCATCTCCTCCTTCAGAGAGCTCTCCATTTTGCTTGTTTTGCACAGCATAGGAGCTCAGATGTATTGAAAGTTGAATTACCACTTGCTGAATATAAAGCAGGGACCCAATGAGAACCTATGAAGCTATGTTTAGAGGTTTAACTCAGAATCTCTGAAATTAGACATCTCTAACGAGAAATTCGTTATCATTGCCTTCATTGTTAGGCTGGGAATCCAATCAAAGGACTTGATGTTCTCCATCTCCAAAAACCAGCAAGCCAGTATGGGCGAAGTCCTTGCCAAGGAAGAGAAGTACATCAATGGCAAGGAAGCTGTCCTTTTCAAGGCAGAGAGCTTATCGATGCACAAGGAGAACGAGAAGAAAAGGGACCGAAGTCCCAGAAATGAGAGAATTCGAGACAAGTATCCATGAAGAGACATGGACCTATCTCTAAAAAAAAAAGGAGACATTAGAGACTGCCTAGGTCCTTCGCTGTAAAAGTTGCAGCCAAGATTTGCACCTCGACAGTTCATTCCCCTCACTGCCACGGTGTCTCGGTCCTCGATGAGGTACAAAACAAAAAGTTTTTATAGTGGCTACCTCGGATGAAGGTAGATCCCATAAAAAGGGATGAAATAAAATACTATGAGTACTATAAAGATCATGACCACCTCACTAAAGACTACATCCAGTTAAAGAAGGAGATCAAGTTTGTGATTTAGCGGGGGCAAATGCGCCGTTTTGTGGCACAATACAATCAGATCCGAGCTCACCCACCCCTAGCACCTCAACAGCAAATTCCTGCACAAACATTAGCAAACTCTAAGAGAGATCAGAGTAATATCTCAAGGATTCGCTGGAGGTGGGGAATCCAACTCAGCCAGTAAGGCTCACATGCATAAGGTTAGAACTGAGGAGGTACTAGAGGTGCAAGTTGTGTCCAACGCACCTTGGCTGAGCATGGACATTACTTTTTCATATACAGATTTGAAGGGTTGTTAGCATCTCCACGATGATCCTTTGGTGGTAAAGCTCATCATCGCTAATAGAACCGTCCATTGGGTTCTAATTGATAATAGTAGCTCTACTGACATCATCTTCGCATTTACCTTCGACAAGATAGATATAGGTAAAGACAAGTTTGAACCAGTGAGGGCTTACCTTCTTGGATTCTCAGGGAAAAGGGTGTTACCCTTGGGTACAATCCAAATTGTTCTCACCAGGGGATATTCGCCTTGCCAATCCACCACCACCATGAGGTTCCTAGTAGTCACCGCCCCCTCAACATACAATGTTCTACTGAAAAGACCTTCCCTCAATGCCATGATGGTCATTCCTTCTGCCTACCACCTTGTCATGAAGTTCTCCATTGACAATGGCGTGGGAGTGGTCCGAGGAGACCAGCGAGTGGCACGAGAGTGCTACATGACGTATATAAAGAGAAAAGAAGTCGAGACTATCAAGCTGGACAAACTTGAAATGAGAGATGAATTGGAAACAAGACCTATGCCTTCAAAACAGATGTAGCATGTCCAACTTGATGAGGAACCAGAACAACTGGTATACATAGGATCAAAGCTGCCTAAAGAAGTTAAAGACCTCCTTATTCAATTCCTTAGAAAAAATATGGAGGTGTTTGCATCGAAACAGGAGGATAGGTAGAGGATTGACCCCTTAGTCATCACACACAAGTTCAACGTGAACCCAACCTTTAAGCCCATCAAACAAAAACGGATAAGTTTTGCTCCAGAACGCCAAAAAGCAATCAATGAGGAGGTTAGCAAACTTCTCCATGCCAAATCCATCAGGGAGGTGGATTATCCGACCTAATTAACCAATATGGTCCTCATTAAGAAATCAAATGCCAAGTGGCGCCTCTTGACTTGATCTGAAATGTGTACACCTAAGTGCAGGCAGTCAAGCTGAAGTAATAACCCAGTTAAGTCCAGAGTTGAATCCATAGGGAACTATGATTAGTGTTTTGAAGTAATCAGTGACAGAGACCAAGTAACTAAAAATCTGAAATGTTTGAAGTTATGGGATTTTCTGGACAGAATATAAGATTCTTTCCAAAGGGTTTTTCTAGACAAAATATAAGATAAATGATCAAATGTAACAACCACCCTTTAGCTTGAAGGTCAGAACATGTAATTAATCATCTGGTTTATTATATTTGTGTTTGATAACTCAATTAACCCCCCGTGTCAACATAAAGTTAATCGAAAGATAAAGATGGATTATGAGGATTAAGATCATGATTCTGATGTCATTGTAGAGGTTTACAAAAATTGTCTATGCCGAGACTCAACCCGTCTACAAACAAGCAGGTGTCTCTATAAGGCATTCAACCATGCTGTTAATATTCTATTCTTTAAATGAAACACGATAATAGTGAAGATTGAAATGTAGTCAAGAAAATCTAGCTGAGGTACTTGCCTTGTTCTATACAAGAGTCATCCATGTCATAGAAAGCACCCATGGTTATACAAAGTACTTTACTTTTGCTAAATGCATTCAATTATTTAATAAGTACTTGTAATATAAAACATTAAATGTAAACGAAATGCACAAATATAACTTCCGAATGATTTGTACATGTCCTTCACCTCTTATTAAAGAGTGAATGAGAAACTACTCACTCTTTAGAGCTTTGGTAAAGCTAGAAAAGTGAGTGATGTTCATCCCTCCAAGTATAGGAGTTACAAAGTGAAACACGCTAAACAAGGAGCCGATCTTCGACGAAGAATGAGTGAACCACTGTAAAACTCAGAAAATTTGAACTTTTTCCGAAAAAAGAAAAAATGGTAATTTGTCACTATAATGTGGAATTAAAATTTATATTTTTATAGATCTCGGATGACGCAACGGACCTCACTTTTGGATTCATCTCACCAAATTTAGTTATCTTGTCAATTTTTATCGAATTTTGAGATAATCAAATTTTTTACGTTTTACGAGACAATTGGGTGACGAATGACCTCATAAACGTCCCCAAAAATAAAATTTATAAAACAATTTTATAATTAAAGAAAATTTCAAATAAAAGTAAATTAAACTTAAATAAGGATAAAATTAAGTCATTTCGGGACAAAAACAGACTTGAAAATAAGAAATGTGCAGCACAATGTGGACCACACAATTTAAGAGTATAAATAGGAGTGAAACATCAGATTTTTAGATATTTTTCACCCCCACTTGTCTGGTCTCACATGTTGGAAGAGAAGAGAAGGGAGAGAAGAGAAAAATCAAGATTTTTA